ACTGACATCACCCTCCTCCCCCTCCTCCTCCTCCTCCTCCTCCTCCTCCTCCTCCTCCTCCTCCTCCCCCTGCTCCTCCTTTTCATCCTCCTCCTCCTCCTCCTCCTCCATCCTCCTCCATCCTCCTCCTTCTCCTCCTCCTTCCTCCTCATTGTCCCTCCTGCCTCCTCGAGGTAGAGCTCACAGACTACTGAACAGGACGAGTGAGCACGCCAGCGGGCCTCTACAGTGGGACAAGGGCATGTTGTTCTGGCCGCGGCGAGCCTCGGCCACAAAACGGTACCCCTGGTCTGGCTCTGCAGAGCTGCCGAAAACCAATGCCCCTCTCGAGCCCCAGGTGGAGAGGGTCCTGCAGCATCCTGACTGTACTGTGTATCCCCCCCTCTTGCCCGCGCCCTCCCTGGAAAGGGGCGCGGGCCACCGGGTTCGAGCTCTGGGTGATCTTCAGGCACTGGATGAGCTTCCTGCGAGCGGGCGTGGAATACCGGCGAGCGACGCGGCGGCCGCGCAAATCAGAGGCGATGCCGTCGCGCTGCAAGGGCAAGCGTCGCCAGGGTCGACCCATGAACCTGCCCTGAAGCGCGCTCTGACAAGGATTACGACGCCGATCCAGCCGTGGCGACGAGTCCGCGCCCAAGGAGCACCCCCCCCCAAGAAAACAGAGTACTAAAACACATCAGATCTCGTGTGCCGCCTCCTCATCCTTCCTCCCTCCTCTTCCTGCTCCCTGATCTTGCTGCACCCACCACCTATGCCTCCTCCCTCCGCCTGCCCTTGATAAACCACCTCCTCCTCATCCTCCTTCTCCTCCTCCTCCCCTCTTCTCCTCCATCTCTTCTCCTTCTAGATAACTTCTCCTTGTCCAACGCCCAGGCGTGTCGGTCAAGCGGGCCGGGTGTTTCGTCAGAGCCTGTCTCGTCATTTATGAGCGTGGAGCTTGGAACTTGCACCGGTCACACAGATGAACGGGGTGGTTTTCAAAATGAGACGCTTGTCTTACCGCCGCACATATTCGTCCAAACAGTGTGCAACGGCTACAGGTACTGGTGGAGAGGTGGAAGGGCGGTGGCTTTCAATATGCGACGTCTTCGCGGATGGCGAGGAAACGGAATTGCCGCGGTAACGCCGAGCACATTCGTCTAAGAGTAGGATGGACGGGGTGGTGCTCAGAATAACGCTCTCGCCTAAGCGCCGCACACATTCGCCCTAAAATGTTGCGGCGATTGCAAGGATCTAAGTGGTGTAGTTTTCAACTGAGGCGATCGCCTTACTGTCGAAAACGCTCGTTGAAAGCTTACAGCACCTACAGGCATGGACAGGGTGGTTTCCAACATGGGGCTCCCGGCTGAGTGCCGCGCACACTCGTCCGACAGCGTTGCAGCAGCTACACGGACGAAGGAGGAGTCGTTCTCCAAATGGCGCCCTGCCCTCAGCGCCACGCACATTCCTTCTGAAAGCTCGCAACAGGGACAAGCGAGGATGCACGGCGGCTCCTGTTCAGAATTCGGCGCTCCACGCAGCGCCTCGTTCACTCGCCCTCGGAGCTCGCAACGCGTACACGGCAGGGGCGACAGCACCTCTCCAGAAGTGGACTCCTGGGTGCGACCTCTCTCCGCTCAGAAGCGCGTTGGGCTCGAACGTGCACAACAACGGCGCGGATGGAGGGCGGCCCTTCTCCAAAGCGCGGCTCCTCGGGGATCACGACACCCCACGCTCAGACCTTTGGACCGGCCACACCGCCGGGGGTGGCGCCTTTCTGTCCTCCATACGGGGATCGCTCGTTGAACTGCATTCCTCATCACTCGCTCGAGGGATGCAAGGCGATTCCTGTTGAAAACAGGGCTGACGCCCGAACGGCAGGCTCGTGATGCGCTAGCCGCTCAAGGGGGCGACTCTTGCACTGAACGGGAGGACCTGTCGGGACTCAGGGAGTGGGATCCAGAGGGGGCTTGGGACGGGAGGATGTATTGCAGCATCGTTGAGGCACCTGGAACTTACTCTGACCCACCTCCTCCCGCCCCCCTCCTCCTGCTCCTCCTCCGTACCCTCCCTCCCCCTCTCCTGCTTCACCCACGTACCTCTTTTGGCGCCCTCCTCCTCCATCTCTTCTGCTCATATGTTTTCTCCTTCCTCCTCCTGCTCCTCCTGCTCCTCCTCCCTCTCCTCTCCTCACGCTCCTCCTCCCGCCCCTCTTCCTCCTCCACTCTCCTCCTCCCCCCTGCCTCCTCCGCCCTCGTCCTCCTGCTCGTCAAGCCTGCTCTTCCTCCTCCTTCTCTTCCTCCTCAATCCTCAATCCTCAATCCTCAATCCTCAATCCTCCTCCTCCTCCTCCTCCTCCTCCTCCTCCTCCTCTTGCGAGTGCCGCGACAAGAGGACCCCCCCAAACCAAACAAACAAACAAAACGGGCCAACTGTCAGAGCCGACCGCGCGCAGGGAGTTCCTCCGTCGGCGCCGCCGAGCGCCGCCCTCCCAGAGCAGGGGGGGAGGGCGGAGGAGCGGAGGAGCCACGCTCACGAGAGGGCGATTCACTTCAGACCCAGACCCCCTCGGGCAATGAACCATTTTCGGCGGCAAGCGGGGAGAGAGCTTTTTGGGGCGGGCCTTCTCAGAAGGATCGGAAGTCCTCTGGCCTTCTGAGACGTTCCCTAAGCCTTCCCTGAAGACACCAAGAGCTTTTCAGAAGGCGCGAGGGCTTCGGAGAAGTCCCGCCGCCTTCTGGGAGGGCCTTCTCGTTCTCACTCCCACCCCCCACTCGCCGCCGAAGACCGAAACCCCCTGGGGCCATGAACAAATCATGGCGGGAGGTCTTTCATCATTTCCGGCCTCCAGGGGCCCTTACCGCGCCCTGGGACCATCAAGAAACGACCCAACGACCCCGGACAAAAAACCTGTCCCAGCGAAATGGGTCGAAACATCTCAGGGTCGACGCCGTGATTCCGCCACCCCCCCTCCGCCGCCCTCCCAGCAGAGGGGGGGCGGAAGGGAGCCATGCTCACGAGAAATTGTTATACTTTGGGCTCTGGCAGCTTTAAGTTGGCAAGGCTTTCCGCCACCTCCCCTCCGCCGCCTTTGCAAACAACGCTGTGCCGAAAAGGCGTGCAAACGATCCCTGACGTGCGTGAAGTCCGGATTTCCTGTCCGGCCCCGCCGCGGCCACTCGCTCCTCTGGAAAGACGTGTCGGAACGCTCAGAAAGCGTCCTGGACCGCCTGAAACAAATAATGCATCACATCGGCTACACGCAAGAGTGACCCTGGGTAAGAGTGTCCTTTGGTGCGCGGCTTTTTGGGGGCCGCGTGGGGACCAAACCTGGGCGCGCAAGCCGTTACTCCTGCTTCGTTTTCAGCCCTCTGGGGACCATGTGTGCCCGCACCAAAGGTCACTCTGGCGAAAGGTCACTCTTACGTCTAGTCGATCAAAATCCAAGGCCCCGCCCGATGCACGCACCCCGACGGAGGGAAGCCGTCTGGGTGCGGCAGGCTCGTGCCGTGAAGACCTGGGAGCGCATGCTTCTGACACCGCGCCCATGCACGGCGGGCCTCGGTCACGCATCGGTTCCTTGGCCGAGATCTGGGGGGGGGGGCCGAAAACCAAAGAGCCCCTTCTGAACCCAGACAGCCCTCCTGTCAGCGTCTCGACAGGAGGACTGTCCAGGAGACGCCCGGGTCTGATTCAGCCCACGGCAGCTATGGGGGACGGGGCGTCTCTTCCTCCCACCTGAGAGAGAGGGAGAAAGAGAGAGAGAGAGAGTGATACATATAGCTATATATAGAGAGAGAGAGACAGAGAGAGAGAGAGAGAGGGAGAGAAAGGAAGAAAGAAAGAGCACAGGGCGTCGGGAAGAGGCGATGCAAGGCGAGAAGGGCGAGCGGAGAGGACGGTGGCCAGCGGAGCTCCCCATCAGCGTCCCCACAAGGTGCAGGGCGGCGCGAGAGCACGGCGGGGGATGGCGGAGACGGTAGGGAGCCTTCGCGGCTTTTGGAAATCGCTGATCTCTTTCAGCGGTGGCACAGGTTTTGCGTTTGGGGGGGGGGGCGGCCATTCACTGAACCTTTACGCTTTGGGCAACCCCACATGTGCCTGCGCGCACCATCACCTCGTACCCCCTTCGGACCTGCGCAACGGACAAGGTCGGGTTTATCCTGTACAGTCGGGCTGGACTGGAGAGGGCACGCGAGAGGACACAAGACCCTTCTGAGGGAGACACCCTGCCACAGGAGTGCAGAAGCAGTGGGTCGCGAGACGCCGGACACAAGGGTACTCCAGATTTCGTAATAAAAGGGAGGAGGTCTGGACCCTCCAAGACAAGCCATTTCAGACATCCCCCGTGGGAGAACCCTCTAAAACATCGTCCCCAGACCCCCCAGGCCCTCCAAGATAGCCTGGAAGAGACCCCCCCCCGAAATGAGACCCCCCTCCCTTTATTACGAAATCTGGAGTACCCTTGACTCGACGGGGTCGCCCTCCTCGTCACCCCCGACTATGCAGGGGGGAGCGAGGCGCGCGGGCCCGCGCACCCGGCGGAGGACCGCCGGGCCCTCCCGCTGAACAGCGGATCCTTGCAGGGCGCCCTCTCCTCCCAAGGTCGGCTGGTTCAGGCGGTTGGGGGCAGCCCGCGGTCATTGCCCCGACCGAGGCTGCTGATGGTCCACCTCTCACAGGTACGAGGTCGGCTAGACGATGTTGCATTACGACAGTCAATGCTGGCTCGCATGGGCCGCTGTTTGAGTATCTCTCGGAGTACCAGGGCTCGGTTCTCTTGGCGCAGGAAACCAGAGTCGTGGAGGCCCGTTTGGGAGAATTTCAGAATAGGGCGCGGGATGCAGGCTGGCACGGGCTGTGGTCAGCAGCTTTAGAGACGGGCGAGTCGACCACGTCCAACTCGAGTGGGGTGGTGGTTTTTGCTCGCACCAACATTACCATCACCGCCCCCCCCGACGGTAGCCATGTGATATATCCTGGAAGAGCGGTATGTGCCCACGTGCAATGTGGGGTCCCAGGTGGCATTGTCTTTACTAGCGTTTACTTTGTGACGGCGATAGGCATGACTGGAGAAAATCTTGCTATACTTTGGGCAGTTGTGCAGAGGATAGCTCAGTGGCAGGCTCTGGGACTGGACTGGGTTATAGGCGGTGATTGGAACTGCGACTTCTATGCCGTCAATGTCAAGGGATGGGTCGAGAAGCTTGCTGGCTTGGCGTTTGTTCCTTCGGAGGCCACGTGCATTACCGACGCTGGTTCTTCCAAGATTGATTATTTTCTGGCCGCCAGCAACCTGGTTCCCAGACTTGACAGGCAGGCGGTTGTTTTGAATGCCCAAGCCACCATTCCACCCCCACATTTTCCTGTGCAGCTAGTGGTCCACGGATCGGACAGGCCCATGTGGTGTCGAGTAGCTGATGAACCGAGGAAGTTCCCTCCGATTCCACCAGTGGGATGTGCGAGGTACCCGTACAATTGGGAAGGGATCAAAGGCATGTTTGAGTCTGTGCAGTCGTCCAGTGACCTACCGCGTGTGTGGGACGCAGTACTTGATGGCGTTGATTTCGAGATTGCTGGGAGGTTTGACAAAGTCGATTCAAAGGCCAAGGAATTCGTCGGACGAGCTGGACCCCCACGATTCAAATGGGAACAAATGACATGGACTCCACCTCGAAGGCGAGAGTATCGAGACTCCAAGGTGGCTGCGTGGGCCACGGCGAAGCGTTGGGTTGCCCACCTGCGGTCGGAGAAGGACAAGCTGCACCGTTTTTGTGAGCGGCTTCGAATATGTAGTGCGGTGTGCACGTTAACTGAGATGCAGTACTTCAAGGTGCTGCAGGCGTTCGACGAGGCTGGAAGATACTGTGACAAGATTTCTGCTGAGCAGTGGGTGCTCAAGGAATTGGGTGAGGAGTTCAGTGAATTTCTGCAAGAAGGGTTGGTGATGATAGTCGATCCTATTTTTGAGAGTATCACCGATGCCATATCCACCCAGGCCGACAAGGTTTTAGGCCAGGAGCGTTCTAGAACGGAAAAGATTTGGAGAGAATGGGCTCGCGAGTCTTTCTTGGAAGGGGCCAGCCGGGCCCACGCGATGTCCAAAGTCCGAGCACAAGCTGAAGTACTCCAATATTGTCAGGAGTCTCAGCCATACCAGCTAGCGGACCAGACTTTGCGGCATTGGTCCAAGGTATGGACGCATCATCGGCTTCAAGCGCCTGATCTTCCTTCGGATTCCAGCGAGTGGGAAGCTCTCCCCCATATCTCTTCTACTGATGTAAGGAATGTGGTAAGGTCTTTTTCGACCTAGACAGCTGCAGGCCCTACGAGGTTGGCGCCGAGGAGTCTGGACGTCCTGTCCGACGGCGCGCCCCAAGCAATCGGCAACCTCTTCATGCTGTGTGAGCGGTGGTTGTGCTGGCCAGCAGATCGAATATACAGCGAACTCGTGCGACTGCCGAAACCCGATGGCGATCACCGAGTAATTGTTCTGAGTAACACATTGATACGTGTATGGGGGAAACTCAGACGACCGATTTCGAGGGAGTGGCAAGATCGCTATGCCTGTCATGAGATGTGGGGCACAAAATCGGGGCAGACTTCGAGCGATTCGGCATTCGACCACAATTTGCAGCAGGAGATTGCCGAGTTGCTAGGTGAGAACACATGCACGATTCTTTTGGATATGTCCAAGTGCTACGAGATGGTAGACCCGCACGCTTTGTTGCGGGAAGGGAGAGCCTTGGGGTTCTCTATGCGATTGCTGTGGATGCTCGTGTGCAGTTACCAGCAGCCGCGAAGGATTCGTGCGTTTGGTAGCGTATCGGTCGGGCAGGTATCTTTCCAAGGAATTCTGGCGGGATGCACGCATGCTACGTTCCTCCTCTACCTGCTCACGTATAGGGCTGTCAGCAGAGCAAACCAGGTCTCGGTCACGATCACGCCCCGCACCCTCATGGATGATGTCGGGCTTCAGTCCATCTCGAAGGCCCCTGAGGACCTCAAGTATCTGGCCATTGCGGCCAAGGGCTTCGTCCACGACTCCAAGGGGCTGGGTATGGTTTTAAATGCTGCGAAGTCAGGCGGGATCCCTGGGAAAAAACGTCTTTGGAAGACCGTCAGTAAGTACATGGGCTCCATGAAGATCCCGTTCAAGGCCCACATGAGGAACTTAGGCCACGAGTTGTCTGGTCCTCGAGTTTTGCGTAGGATTGAGAAGCGTCGCCTGACCAGTTTTAGAGATCGCCGCCAGCGTTTCACCATGCTGCGAAGGGCGACAGGCAGGCGAGTGACATCGTTGTGGAGGACTGGAGCCCTGCCGTCAGTGGGCCACGGCGCCACTGTGGCGGGGGTGAGCGACTCGGCTTTGAAGGAGCTCAGGCTGTTCGCGGCGGTCCTCAATGGGGCTCCTGGCAGATCCTCCACGGGGCTCACGGCGTATTTGATCTCGCATAAGAATGACCAGTATGACCCCATAGACCATGCGACTCTGCAGGTTGTGATTAAGTTTTCGGAATGGATCTGGGACTCCAGGGTTCAACCGAGCAGGCTTCACAGGGCCTGGGAGAAGCTCAACGAGAAGTTCGGGGGCTCGCAGAAGGCCGCATGGGCCCAGGCCAGGGGCCCCATGGCGGCCACATGGCTGTCGCTCCGAAGGATCTCTTGGGACCTCGTCGCCAGCCACGTAGTTAGGGACGACCTAGGCCGAGTCTACGACCTCAGGATGTTGAGCCCAGCAGATTTCAAGCACTTCTTGATAGAGGGAGTGCAGAGGTGGCAACACGGCCGCCTCTTGCGGCATCTTTATACTGTGGGCGAAGGAGAAGCTATTCCAGTCTGGCATAGGGCCCTCAGGTATGCGATAAAGGGGATTCGTTGTGTGAAGCGTCTGGGAGCGATTCAGGCACATTGGGCCGACGGTATCCCTATACCTGCCAGGCTGGATTTGAAGGCGGGAGGCCGCTTCCGTCCTTGCGCAGCTTGTGGTCGCCAGATCAACGAATGCTGGGGCCACTTCCTGTACGATTGCCCTGCTCTCTTGGAGGGCGACCCCGAGGATGAATTTGCTGCTCTGCCTGAACAGCTCGTCGAAGTGCGAGATCGCCTGGTGAATTCTGGAGTCGGGGCAGGCCGTCCCGAATGGGACTACACATATCCTGTCTTTGGGATCCCTGAGCTTCCTGTCGGGCTACCTCCGAGGGAGTCTGTGAGTTCAGAAGTTTTGTATTGGGGCGATACAGAGGGGCAATGGGGGCCAAAGTCGTACACGGACGGTTCGGGGTTCGGGTCGAATGTGCCAGAAACCAGGAGGTGTGGCTGGGGCCTATGCCAGTTGGACCCCGACACTTTCTTGCCGAAGCGGGCGATTTTCGGCCCATTGCCGTATCTAATCCAGACAGTCGGCCGTGCTGAAAGATATGCTATACGAATGGGGCTGGTTGTTCATCCAAACCACGAGGTTTTCGTGAGCGATTTACTCTCTTTGGTGGAGGAGGGGAATACTTGGGTGGACGAGCTTCAGCACGGCCGAAAGCAGCATGCACGAGTGTGGAGAGATATTTTTATTGCGGCTGAGAAGCGGGACAAGAAGCTGCCGCCTCCAGCATTCCAGTGGACCCCTGCGCATCGAGACATCGAAGCTGTGGTGTTGGGCGGGGCTGGTACCTTGGAAATTCAAGATTGGCTCGGCAATGCCTGGGCGGATTTTTTCGCAAGAGTCGGCGCTGCTCAACATGCTGTCGCAAAGGTGACGACTGAGAGTGTGATGACCGCCCTGAAAGAGCACCGACAGGTTCTTCAGTATGTGTCCTGGGGAATCCAGAGGGTGGTGGAGTCTCAGAAGTACGGCCGTGATGTGTTTCCAGGGCCCCGTCCAGTGGAGATTCGTGCGCCTGTGCTCTTTCAAAAAGCGGATGATCATGTCTTGTACAAAAACGTCAAGACGGGCGTTTTCAAGTGTAGAATGTGTGGGGCCTCCGCCCGCACGCCTGCATCCTTCGACAATCTGCGTGTTGGTGGTGGTCGGAAGTGTGCGCCCAGCAAGGTCACCCAGGCCCTCACAAATGAGTTCTTCAGGACGTCCCTCGATGAGTGGGAGAAGCCAGTGAGTGATGAGCGCGTTGCCGCTGCTTTAGATGCTGCTGCCGCCTTGGAGCCCCAAGGAGCCCCCGCGGAGGCCGAAGGAGGCCCCTCCCAGCCACCTGTGCTCGACGGGGCCTCAGGGGATGATACAGACCCCCTCATCCTGGAGTGCGGGACTCTTGGGCACGACGTTTTTCGTGTTAATTCAATGTATTGCTGCCGTCGTTGTGCAGGGCATTGTTCAGTGTTGCAGGTTAATAGTCTCAGGAAGCTGAAGCGTGAGTGTGTAGGCCTCTCGGACAACCTCAGCACTCGGAGGAGTCAGTTCAGGGCGATCGACAGGATCAGCCGTGGGCTCGAGCCACGACAGCGAGGAGGGGACCCCAAGCCCCCGCCATAGGCTGTCCTTGGGCTGTGCCCCCTGGATCCTGGCGTGTGCGGTCCTGGGGCCCCTCGCTTTTCCTGGTGTGGCTTTGTTTTTGTTTGTCCCCAGTTTTGTGCTGAGGTATGTCAGTCCTGCTGGCGTACTCTTGGTTGCCTGCACCCTGCACCCTCCTCCCTCCTCCCTCCTCCTCCCTCCGCCCCTGCCCCTCCCCCCCTCCTCTCCGCCCGGCGGCGCTCGCCCGAGGGAAGGGCAGCGAGGGGCAGCGCCCCGGTGGACAACTGCCGGGCCGGGCGAAAGGGGGGGATAGCAAAGGGGGGGGTTGAGAATCAGCTCACGTAGCTGATTTTACCGGCGCCTCCCGGCGCCGGGAGGCGCCCATGTGTCGAGGAATGGGCCCGGCGGCGGGGCCGAAACCAGCTGCATGCAGCAGATGTCGTAACCCCCCCTTTCCCAAACCCCCCCTTCCGCCCGACCCGAAACTGGCTCGGGGGGTGAGGCACCGAGCTGGCCTCGGCGATGCAGCCGGCCCGAGGTAGAGCATCGAGGTCGGTTCGGGAAGGGTGCCCCAAGTGGTCTTCGTGTCGGTGGGTGTTCGGATGCATCCTGGGGGGGAGGGTGCCCTCGAACGCTCTTCGGTTTGGGCCAGCGGAGGGTCTCACGTTCTTGAAGGATGCTCTTCTGTCCCAAGTCTGACGATACATCGCCGGCAGATCGGCGAGAGGCCCCCGATGACGATTCCGCACGCTTCTGGGCGAGGCGGGCTATCGACGACCGGGCCCCGTTCGGGGAAACTAAAAAGCACCGACACCGCCGCGCCGCGGAACTCTCCCAGAACGCGCTCCGACCAGGATCCGAAGGCAATCCGGCGGTGGCGACGAGGGCCTCCCAGGAGGCCCCCGAAGAGGAAGACGAGGGAAGGGCAGCGGTATGGGTACCTCTCCGAGCCCGTCCCCGCCTGACGTTGCCCTGGAAGAGGGCGCCGGAGGCAGGTCGGCAGTCAAGGACCATCGGGGGTTGCTGCAGGCGGCCCCAGCCCAGGGCGTCCCCAGCTTGCCGTCGTTCCGCTTCGGAGCCCCTGCTGGAGGGGGGGCCTGCTGGGCCAAGCAAGGGGTGCTCTGGCGGCCTCGGTGCCTCCCTCTGGCAGTCCTGGAGGCATCCTGGGCCGAGGGCGCCTCTTCGGGAGCAGATGGACCACCCTCGCCATGAGCACCCAGGCAAGCCAAGCAAAGGCGTTGAGTAAATGCACTCAGAGAAGGAATCGAACAAGGTACGGCTGGCTGGTAAACGCCCAGGGCTTTTTCGTAAACGTTGTTCCTCCTCTCTTGATTTCTGGCAGCGCCCCAGAGGGAGAAAATTACCGAGGATGTTGGAGGTCCCATCAGCGTGGCCATTCGCACCGCGATCAAAAACCTCGGACATAGGTGCTCTCTCTTGGTCCTTGTCCAGTTCTATTGCTCATCTCTTGTCATCCGTCGCATTTCCCTTGCCAGGGAATTCAAGGCGGCACATGTCACATCGCGAGCCCGAAC